GTACTTGAAGCTAAAGGCTAGTACTTGAAGCTCAAGGCTAGTACTTGAAGCTCAAGGCTAGTACTTGAAGCTGAAAGGCTAGTACTTGAAGCTGAAAGGCTAGTACTTGAAGCTCAAGGCTAGTACTTGAAGCTGAAAGGCTAGTACTTGAAGCTGAAAGGCTAGTACTTGAAGCTGAAAGGCTAGTACTTGAAGCTCAAGGCTAGTACTTGAAGCTGAAAGGCTAGTACTTGAAGCTGAAAGGCTAGTACTTGAAGCTCAAGGCTAGTACTTGAAGCTGAAGACTAGTACTTGAAGCTGAAAGGCAAGTACTTGAAGCTGAAAGGCAAGTACTTGAAGCTGAAGGCTAGTACTTGAAGCTGAAGGGTAGTACTTGAAGCTGAAGGCTAGTACTTGAAGCTGAAGGCTAGTACTTGAAGCTGAAGGCTAGTACTTGAAACTGAAGGGTAGTACTTGAAGCTGAAGGTTAGTACTTGAAGCTGAAGGGTAGTACTTGAAGCTGAAGGGTAGTACTTGAAGCTGAAGGCTAGTACTTGAAGCTGAAGGCTAGTACTTGAAGCTGAAGGCTAGTACTTGAAGATAAAGGCTAGTACTTGAAGATAAAGGCAAGTACTTGAAGCTGAAGGCTAGTACTTGAAGCTGAAGGCTAGTACTTGAAGCTGAAGGATAGTACTTGAAGCTGAAGGCTAATACTTGAAGCTGAAAGGCTAGTACTTGAAACTGAAGGCTAGTACTTGAAGCTGAAAGGCTGGTACTTGAAGCTGAAGGCTAGTACTTGAAGCTGAAGGCTAGTACTTGAAGCTGAAGGCTAGTACTTGAAGCTGAAGGCTAGTACTTGAAGCTGAAGGCTAGTACTTGAAGCTCGCTGAAAGGTATTACTTGAGGCCTGCTGGAAAGTAGTAATTAAAGTTTGCTGAAGGACCTCGTCAGAGCCTGCAATAGAGAAATAGAAGCCACAACATCACAACCTGTTACAACCATACAGTGAACTCTAAACAACCTCGTTAGTGCTCTTGAACTCGTAAAAACAGTTCAGTGAATACGGACATAACCCTACGTGGCTGAGATTAGAGGTTCAGGGGCCTGATTCACGAAGCAGTTACGCAAATACTTACGAACGTGTACATCTTTCCACAATCTTTGACGGCTTTGGTTACATTTATTAAACAGTTTACAAGCATGAAAACTTCCCAATCAACTGTTGTTATTGTTATAAACCGCGGTCTGGTGCTTCGGAGCTCATTAACTGTTTAATATTGTAAACAAAGCCGCCAAAGATTGAGAAAAGAGATACAGGTCCGTAAGTGCTTGCGTAAGTGCTTTCGTGAATCTGGCCCCAGGTCTCCTGTTATTTGAACCGCGGATCGGGGCCCAGGATGGGCAGGAGGCGCCTATAGCCATTATATAGTCGTAATGACTCTATAGCACTGGGAAGGGGGGTCAGGTTAAGAATTTGGGATGGGACGGAGGGAATGGAATAGTGACCAATCACTTGTGGACTGGACAGTCGGAGAATTGAACGTCGACCTGCATGAAGCGAGACCGCCGCTCTACCGTCCAGTCCAAGTGGTTGGACAGCTGGGGGGGGGGGGCACCACCATTGGAGCACCATTCCTTCCCCCCGTCCTATCCTAAATCCTTATCCTGACCTCCTGAATAGAAACTGGCTACAGCTACAGTAAATAGGTACCTGGGAGTTAGACAGCTGCTACGGGCTGCTTCCTGGGAAGTGAGTGTGTGTGTGTGTGTGTGTGTGTGTGTGTGTGTGTGTGTGTGTGTGTGTGTGTGTGTGTGTGTGTGTGTGTGTGTGTGTGTGTGTGTGTGTGTGTGTGTGTGTGTGTGTGAAAAAAAATAATTTGATTGACAGTTGAGAGGCGGGCCCAAAGAGCCAGACCTCAACCCCCGCAAGCACAACTAGGTGAGGACAAGGTTGAACCCCTTTCTGGCCTATTGCAGCCAATTATTGCCTCGTCTCTGTCCTATGGGGCAGCTATTACATCCCCCCCCCAACCCAATCCATTACCCCCTTCAACCCAGTCCCGCCCCTCCCCCCTTTCCCCCCCCTCCCCCCACCCTACCCCCACTCTCCCCCCTCTTTCATTACAACAGAATTGCAACTCACGTCACATTGAGCAGCTCAGGGGCCGGCTACCGTCCACCCCCTCCACTGTGTTTCACACCAATTGTGGAGATTATCGCTCCAGATACCCCCCCCCCTTTCCCCCCTTCTCCGCCCCTTTCCCCCCCTCTCCCCTTCCCCTGTCCCCGCTCCCTTCCCCACAGTCCCCCCCATTTTTTTTCTCTACCACCTGTTTCCCTTTCGTACCCTCCTTCTCTCCTTATTCCTCTCTCTTCCCCCCCTCCCCCCTCTTTTTCGCCCTGTCCCTCTCTTTATTTTCCCTCACCACCCCTCAAAGCACCCTTTCTCTCCCCTCCCCAATCACTCTTTCTCTCCCCCCAAATCACCCTTTCTCTCCCCCCAAATCACCCTTTCTCTCCCCCCAAATCACCCTTTCTCTCTCCCCCAATCACCCTTTCTCTCCCCCTAATCACCCTTTCTCTCCCCCTAATCACCCTTTCTCTCCCCCTAATCACCCTTTCTCTCCCCCTCAATCACCCTTTCTCTCCCCCTCAATCACCCTTTCTCTCCCCCTCAATCACCCTTTCTCTCCCCCTCAATCACCCTTTCTCTCCCCCTCAATCACCCTTTCTCTCCCCCTCAATCATCCTTTCTTCCCCCCCCAATCACCCTTTCTTCCCCCCAATCACCCTTTCTTCCCCCCCCAATCACCCTTTCTTCCCCCCCAATCACCCTTTCTTCCCCCCCAATCACCCTTTCTTCCCCCCCAATCACCCTTTCTTCCCCCCCCCTCTGTCCCCCCTTTTCCAGCACCTCTAGTGAACAGCATGTCATTTTTTTTTAGCATTTGATAATTTGACGAAAGAAAATATCTTACGCTAAAATAGTTAATGATTCTCTATCATTTAATAGCCAAGATAATAGTGAGGATAATAGCTAGAATATGCAGAATAACCACATGTGGATATATATATATATATATATATATATATATATATATATATATATATATATATATATATATATATATATATATATATATATATATATAAATATAATAGCTAGGATATATATAAGGGCAAACAGATGCGCAAGTCTCTGCTCTTTCTTCTTTTTTTCCCTGTTCTCGTCTCGCCTAGGTTCCTGTACCTTTGAAAAGGATCGAAGGATACTTTTTTGTAGCCCGTTTGCCACCCTGCAGCTCTTTCTTGGCCCAGACCTTCCTGTGGTATAACGACTTGACCAACCAAACTGTTTGTTTTAGCAGCTAGTGAGCCGAATTGTCTCCTTTCTAGAGAGTCCCAATAATTTAGACGAGCGAGATATCAAATAACATATCATGGAAGATACTGGACGGTCAGATCGCAAATTTTTGGCAGAAGAATGACAACATACTGGAGTGAAAGATACGGAAGGAAACGCAGAATAGAACCAGTGAGGAGTACAGGTGCTGTGAGGAGTAGAAGTGGAGACAGTGCTGTGAGGAGTAGAGGTGGAGACAGTGCTGTGAGGAGTAGAGGTGGAGACAGTGCTGTGAAGAGTAGAGGTGGAGACAGTGCTGTGAGGAGTAGAGGTGGAGACAGTGCTGTTCCTATTGATGTTCAGACAGTACTCTCCATAGGCTCAGAGGCCCTCGGTTGTTTAAACATTCTCCCAGCAAGCATTAGAACAATTTTCGGAGCACCATTACCCACAGGCCAGAGTGTTGGCGGGTTATTTGTAAAACCTGGTTGTGGCACCAGTTTGGACCTCCAGGCTCTGCCAGAGGACTCAGTAGAGTTCAGGGTTGAATAGCTTTTGTCCTATCGTAGCTGATTGGGTTAAGGTAAGCGTCTGGGAGTCAGTAGAACGTTGTTTCAAATCCCCTTCATTGATCCAAATAATTTTTGGATCAAGTCATTAACGTGGATATTTCAACTATTTGAGATCATTCCTTCTCCAATAGTTTTGACCTTTTTTCCCAGCAGGTAAAGAGATAAAGGGAAAAAGTTAGTTAATTCCATATTAGTGGATCTCTCTTACAAATCTCTATAGTTATTTAATTTAGCAGTAGGAGTAGTGAGCGCAATATGGAGAGAGACTTCTGGTGGTGTCTTGGGAGGTGTGGTCACACGTGTCTAAGGTGTGGCCACACGTGTCTAAGGTGTGGCCACACGTGTCTAAGGTGTGGCCACACGTGTCTAAGGTGTGGCCACACGTGTCTAAGGTGTGGCCACACGTGTCTAAGGTGTGGCCACACGTGTCTAAGGTGTGGCCACACCGCTGATGGCCAGGCTTGAGGCCGTGTAATTAGATCTGCCTGTGTCCTATCTCATCCATCCTGATAATCTCCCTTACCAACGCCTCTCCTGGAACACACCTGGATATGCATATCCAGGTATATCCAAGCATATCTCCGCACCCTTCCCCCCCCCTCTCTCTCTCTCTCTCTCTCGAAGTTAATATTCTCCGAACCACCTTATCTCTATCCTCTGTCCACCCATTCCCGCCTTCCTGCTCCTCTCCTCCACCCCCCTCTCTATCCCTCCTTCCCCCCTCCCTCTACCCCCCATTTCTCTCCCTCCCTCCACACTCAACATAATATCCCACCCAACTTTCCCAAATCCGGCTCTTCCTTGCCCCAATGTTCCACTCCCACATACGCTTGTAAACGCAAGCAGAACTACGCCATAACCACTGCCCTCGACAGGCTTTTCCGTACACACGAAAATGCACGAATATTCTTATCTAACACGCCTACCCGAATTGTTGCTCGACCGGGACGCACGTGCAAATAAAACAACGACACATAACCTAATTTATCATTGTCATAAACACCTGTCGCCCGGAATTAAGCTGTACGGCGATCTATATTAAGCATTTCATTTACACATGCCGGAGAGATGGACTTGGAGATTAATCGTTCCATTTCGTTTGCTTTTCAGTGACGTCTGGACTGGAAATTGTCAACATCGAGGGCCCGAGTGTGGTCGTGAACGGGTCCCTGCCTCAGCTCGTCCTCGACTGCGAGTATGACATCAAGGAGTATGATAAGAAAGGTTTGGTAGTGAAGTGGTACTTCAACAGGCAGCCTTTTCCAGTCTACCAGTGGATACCAACCAACGTGCCTCAGGTGTGTGGTGGTGGTGGTTGTTGTTTCATGTGGTGGTGGTGATGTGTGGTGGTGCCTGTTGTAGGTAGTGTAATGTGTGATGATACTAGGATTACAGCTACCAGAATCTACTACCATTTAATAGTTGTAGTCAATCATTGTTGATGATAGAGTGACTACCCCTAAAACCAGCAGAAGTGGTGGTAGGCAGGTACCAGTACTCTCGGCAGCGACGGTGAACGTAATTAACCGTAACCGTGAAGTTGAAAGCACAGTAGCTAGAAGAACCAATAAAATCTGTATAGTTCACTGATAAGTCTACACCCGCATGAAGACACGGACCAAATAACCGAAATGATATTCTTCAATATATTACCTTCAGTAACTCAAGGGGGAGACTTGAGCAATTAGAGGATGATAATCTGTGGATAACGAAGAATGCCATAACCATGTGTTATGTATAACAAGAAGGTCTTTAAGCACCAGCCAATTATAAACCATTTTAACTTTTCAAACTCAAAACTTTTAACTTTTGAAAGAAACTTCCTTCCACAAACTTCTCTTTCCTGTTAAATGCTTTTCCACGTCTTGGATGGGGAGTCCCACAGACTCACTTCTCCCGGAAAACTTCCATTCGCCTTTATATAAAGGTTTGAGCCCCTTTTAGGACGTGTTATAAGGTTTTAATTGGGTGGAACCCAGACGCGACGAGGCTCTTGAAGGCTCCACCGTGATGAATTTTGTTCAGATTTTGCTCTTAGGCCCTCCCTGTTGAGCATTCTATATCAGATTACGTTATATGCCTTCCTTCCGAGCCTATCTATCGAGCCCTCCCTTCCGAGCCCCTCCGAGCCCCTCCGAGCCCTCCCTCCCGAGCCTGCATTAAGAAATGTAAGCTCAGAAAAGCCCCCTCTGGGTCTCCCAACGAGCCTTTTACCACCATCGCATTTCCTTTAGTCTGCAAATTAAGAGAGTCTGATTTCCTGCGTGTCGTGGGCGTGCCAGAGAGGGCGTGCATGTCGTGGGCGTGCCAGAGAGGGCGTGCATGTCGTGGGCGTGCCAGAGAGGGCGTGCATGTCGTGGGCGTGTGGAGACGGGCGTACGTCTCCGCCTTACCACGCCCCTATCCCCCCCATCGTCTCCCAGTTATAGGAACTACATCTTTTCTTCCCCCTCCTCCTCCAGCACTGTCGTCATCACTCTGAAGGTGTTCGACTCAAGGAACAAGTTGATATACAGAGTTAACCGGTCCTTAATCTGATTACTTTGTTTAACGACATTCCTTAAAATGATCTGTACCGTTTACGTGAAAGACGGGGAATCTTGTTCAAAATTGGTGGGAGTAAGATGGGGTTTGAAATTAGAGGAACACGGTGTTTTTAACCTTTCCACTATTCATCAAATTATTCATTTCCTTTTCTCGTTTTATATATTATTAATAGCCAATGGGCGCGCTATTTATTTTCCAATTTTTAAACTTATCTAGTACCATTGCCCATGGCACATATTATCATATAAAATCTGTTTCCAAGAGTAAATTTTAATATTATATTTAGCCTATGCCTTATCTAGTCTTAAGGAAAAATATATAGGGTTTTGACGTCCATGTGTACAAAAATGGAAGGAGGTGAGTTTGGGACACTTCGGTGAACCTTACCTTATGTTCACCTAGTTGTGTATGCGGGGGTTGAGCGTCGGCTCTTTGGTCCCGCCTTTCAACATTCAATCTACTGGTGTACAGATTCGTGAGTTTATTGGGCTCTATCATATATGCATTTGAAACTGTGCATGGTGTCAGTCTCCACCACATCACTTCCCTGTTCTTTCCGCTGCCTTGTCTCTGACCTCTAGGCCTCCTGGTTGGTAGTTTAGTCAGCAAAACCAGGTTGTTGTTTATGACTCGTACTTCAGAATTCGAACAACAGCCTGGTTGATCAGGTACCCCTTGGAGGTGTCTTGAAGAGAGAACTAGACAGTTTCGTGAGAGGTTGGCTAGTTAGGTTGATGTTGATTTAGATTTAGCTACTCAGAACGAAATATCTATGTAGCACGGGCTATGGTGAGCCCGTAATCGGCTAGTTAGGTCTCTTGTGTTTATGTAGAACTGAGGTGAGGTAATCAGCAGGAGAAAGAGCTTAGCCAGTACGATTATATAGATCTTACAAGAGTTATGAAGACAGAGTGACGATGCCTATGCAACCATTTAGACCGTTGGGAATCGAACGCCGACCCTGCAAGAAGCGAAGCCATCGCTCTTGCCAACTAATCCAAGTAATTAGGTGTGAAGGTAAAAGCCAATTAAAAAAAAAATTTAGTACATTAATATTTACCTATTAATTTAGATATGCAGTTTGCAAGCCACAACAATAGAGTTAAATGAGCTTGAATCTTCCTTCACAGGACCTGGGCATCTTGAAGGGTCGCCTGAACCTGAACTACGCCGTGTCGGAAGAGGAGTATACGAAACATCGCGCCTTGGCCATTGTCAAGCCCACGACAGAGCTCAGTGGGGAGTACACGTGCTGGATCTCCTCCTTCGAGAGCGAGGATTTCAAGAGGAAGAGTCTTATTGTCTACGGTAAGTTCCCACGGAGATGTTCTAAGAGGCGGGCCACTTAAACGGAACCGGTATATCTCATGAACAAATCCACAAAGGGGGGCCGAAATGAGGGTTCGAATGCATCATGCTATTGGGATTTCTGCCTGTACATCTCTTCTTGAGTCTTGGTGGTTTTATATTGACTTTGAGTAGTTTATGAGCTGCGACGATTAAAGAGGTTGTAAACTATAATATCTCTTGGGTTGTGAAGTTTGGAATTTCGTAAATTGTTTGAATAAGTGTAAATAATGCTGTTTAAGGAAGGATTTACAGGTTTCGTGGGTGGTTTATGTAAATGTTTTTGTTGAATGCCAACTCAGGTTTTTTTTTTCGTGGATTTTTCTCCCCCGTGATGTGATTGTGTGAGCTTTGTGGGTACCGTTATCTTGAGGTTATCTTGAGAAGATTTCGGGGCTTAGTGTCCTTGCGGCCCGGTCCTCGACCAGGCCTCCTTTTTGTTACACACCCCCATGAAGCAGCCCGTAACAGCTGTCTAACTCCCAGTTACCTATTTACTGCTAGGTAACAGGGGCATCAGGGGGGAAAGAAACATTTTGCCCATTTGTCTCCGCCACCACCGGGGATCGAACCCGGAACCTCAGGACTACGAATCCGAAGCGTTGTCCACCCAGCTGTCAGACGACACTGTGGAGTGTCCTGCAATATAGTGATTAGTTGATTAGTGACGTTGATTAGTGATGGTGAAGAGGGAGAATCACAGATGGTGACATTGTTTTTCTTCTTGGGGGGGGGGATGGTGAGCAGTGACGAGCTGATAGTGATGACGTCGCCTAAGGATCAGCGAGGATAGTGATGAATCGAAACACTTGGATCCAATATTGGATCCAGAGAAAGCTCGACAACTGTAGTGTTTACTAAATTAGTTTGGAAATGGTCACGAAAGGGATTTTAAAATAGCTAGGGCTGACCAGACCACACACTAGAAAGTGAAGGGACGACGACGATGTTTCGGTCCGTCCGGGACCATTCTCAAATCGATTCGGTCCAGGACGGACTGAAACGTCGTCGTCCCTTCACTTTCTAAGTGTGTGGTTTGGTCAATATTTTTTTCAGCCACGTTATTGTGACTCCTCGCCTGCAAAATAGCTGATATTTGATTTCTGGCTTTGGGAGGTTACCTTGAGGTGATTCCGGGGCTCAGCGACCCCGCGGCCCGGTCGTCGACCATACCTCCTCGTTGCTGGACTGGTCAACCAGGCTGTTATACGTCAGGCTGCGAGCAGCCGCGTCCGAGTCACAGCCTGGTTGATCAGGTATCTTTTGGAGATGTTTGTCAAGTTCTCTCTTGAACACTGTGAGGGGTCGGCCAGTTATGCCCCTCACAGTGTTCAAGAGAGAACTTGGGGAGGGGTAGAGGAGGGAGGGGGGGAGGGATTGTACTTGCTTGCAATACTGAAAGGACTTCATTAATGTATTTACTATTTGTGCCTATAAACTCGTGCAATTAGCTCTTGGACCCCGCCTTTCTAACCAATCTATTTGTTTTCCTCTATTATGTCTACTACATATATTTCTCTTTAACACATGCGCGCGCACATATTTCCAAGACGAGCAGTCTCACTACCAGGTGCCTGGTTACTACTAGGTGAACAGGTGCATTAGGTGAAAGGAGCTGTGTGTGTGTGTGTGTGTGTGTGTGTGTGTGTGTGTGTGTGTGTGTGTGTGTGTACTCACCTAATTGTACTCACCTAATTGTGCTTGCGGGGGTTGAGCTCTGGCTCTTTGGTCCCGCCACTCAACCGTCAATCAACAGGAGGTATCCTGTTGTGTGTGTGTGTGTGTGTGTGTGTGTGTGTGTGTGTGTGTGTGTGTGTGTGTGTGTGTGTGTGCGCGCGTGCGGCGTGCGTGCGTGCGTGCGTGCACGTGGACGTTACCTGAACTCGATATCAACGTTCAATTTTTTTTCTCTTTTTTTATTTTTTTATTTTTCCCTGTAAAAGTTACTCAATGATACATAAATAATAACGTAACATTGAACACTGCGACGGTGAGCAAGAACTAACGAGACTGTTCGTTAGTTGCTCATGCAACTAACATTGCAAGCGCCAGAGGGAAGCGTAGGCTCAGGGAAATACATCAACCCATTAACTCTCTTTTGGCGACATTTAATTTGTGAGATAAACTTCATATCATCGATTGACTGATAATATTAGCACGAAGATTATGGATCGTGGAGGTAAATCACATATTACAGATATTAATATTTCCATAATCGGCAATTAATGATGAATTAATGCAATAAAAATAGATCGCGATAGATCTCCACCACAAATCAGATATTAAATCATTTATTGGCCGCTAATGGCCAAACACAGCCACGCTTTGCCAACAATTCGAAGCGAAAGCTGTTTTTTTTTTCCGCCTAATTTATTTTCTACCACAGATGTGGCCAGACATTTACAATGCTAAGCAGCATATATACATTTTCTTCTGCCCCTCCATAGGCAGGGTTAAAAGGCTGCTATATACATATGTAAAGAGTTTATATATATATATATATATATATATATATATATATATATATATATATATATATATATATATATATATATATATATATATGTGTGTGTGTGTGTGTGTGTATACGGTATATATATATGTCCCGACAGCTATAACTATTGCTTATAGCTGTGATGACACACATACAAATCACACTAAGGTGATTATATATATAATATTTATATAAAATATATATTTTTTATATATTTTATAAATGGGAAAAAGGGAGGGTTGTTCAGTGGCTCTTGTCACGTTCAAGGTCCTGCTGAACTTCTGGCTGTGATGATATGTTATAGATACAGCTACTCGGAACAAGTTCCAAGTAGCACGGGCTATGGTGAGCCCGTAGTGGACTTACCTGACACATGAGTGGTGCTGTGGCTGTGATGATCGTTATGAGCAATAGTTATAGATTATGATGATGTACAGGCAGGAGTGTAGGAGCCTCGGGCTGTCGGGGAAGGGACCCGGATACGGTGGCTAAGATACCTAGGGCAGCCCAGTGACCAATTTCTCAAGCATCAGCACTGTAAACTCAGCTAATGTGGCCTGGTATACACACTGAATGTAAACTCATTGAAGAGTGCGAGAGGCAGTTCCTAGTTCAAACCTTACATTACTGAATGTTGTAGGCGAGGAGTCACAATAACGTGGCTGAAGTAGTTTGACCTACACACTAGAAGGTGAAGGGGACGACGACGTTTCGGTCCGTCATGGACCATTCTCAATCGACTTGAGAATGGTCCAGGACGGACCGAAACGTCGTCGTCCCTTCACCTTCTAGTGTGTGGTTTGGTCAAATTACTGAATGTTCAGTCATTGGACTGTTCATCATTTTTTTGTTCATTGGACCTCATGTAAGTGTGTTTGGGTGAGAGGGGGATCAGGATGTTACAGTTTGCATGGTTTTGAGCTGGACGGTAGAGCGACGGTCTCGCTTCATGCAGGTCGGCGTTCAATCCCCGACCGTCCAATTGGTTGGGCACCATTCCTTTCCTCGTCCCATCCCAAATCCTTTATCCTAACCCCTTCCAAGTGCTATATAGTCATGTTGGCTTGGTGCTTTCCCCTGATTATTCATTTCCCTTCCCTCCACAGTTTGTCACTGATGAGACACAGTTTACCGTTAAGCGAGATGGAGAATTCAGTATTATGAAAGTAAGCAAAAGTAAACAAAATCAAAAACATAGTTTAAGGTAGCTGCATAAGTACATATGTAACTTTGTGAGCTTTATTTCATGTTGACACACTCACACACGAGAACCTGGGTGCCTGGTGGCTGAGTGGGCAGCACTCCGGACTCGTAATCCCGGGGACCAGGGGTTCGATCCCCGGCGATGGCGGAAAACAAATGGGCAGAGTTTCTATCACTCTGATGCACTTGTTACCTAGCAGTAAATAGGTACCTGGGTGTTAGACAGCTGTTACGGGCTGCTTCCTGGATGTGTGTGTGTGTGTGGGAGGGGGGGGGGATATTGATTGACAGTTGAGAGGCGGGCCGAAAGACCAGAGCTCAACCCCTGCAATCAGAACTAGGTGAATATACACGAGAGAGAGATAGAGAGAGAGAGAGAGATAGAGAGAGAGAGAGAGAGAGAGAGAGAGAGAGAGAGAGAGAGAGAGAGAGAGAGAGAGAGAGAGAGAGAGAGAGAGAGAGAGAGAGAGAGAGAGAGAGAGAGAGAGAGAGAGAGAGAGAGAGAGATAGGAGAGAGAGAGAGAGAGATACAGGTCGGCTCCCTGTAATCAAACACATAAGACTGGCTTGGCAAACGACTCTAACTCTAGGAAACATACAACCACACGGAAACCACATTAGCACTGTGCATCCTATGACAAAAGCTCACCGAGAGCTTTTGGATAGCAATCAATGTATTAATAACTATTAACCAGTTTCCAAAGCGTATCAATAAACTATTAACACCTATTACCAAGCAATCGGAACCATTAAGCTGCCAATAGATGGCGCTTCAATTATATGTTTTCCAGCTTCATAAACAAAACAAAAAAGAGGAATTTTTGGCATGGCACCAATCGTTAGGTGTCATTGAATACATATCATAATATTGACATCCTCAGCTTCACATGGAGGGGATGAGGAGGGGGAGATTGGGAGAGGGGGAAGAGGAGGGGGGGGGGTTGGGAGAGGGGGGAGGGTGTTCTGTTATTATGGGACTGGACGTGCCAATCAGCGTCTATTGAAAATTCTCAAAATTGAGTTGGTCTGCCGCAAAAAGCAACATTAAAAATATATGGCCAGTATTGCAACTCTGAACATTATAAATCATTATTTTCAAATATATTGGTTTTGGGATATATTTACTAGGAAATATTATAACAATAAAACCTGAAAAGTAGAATAGTAGAGAGACATGATTGCCACATACAAAATTCTCAGGGAATTTATAGGTTGGGGAAAAACCCAGCGTATTTTGATTGGGTGGTACGGGAATCAAATCAGA